AGTCGGCTATAGTTCGCCAAAAAATCTCAGAGCAACTTTTTGTTAGCCTTCTTGCTTCCACTGATTACTTACTCTGCTATTAATTACTATAACCCATAACAAAAAACGCTCCAAAAGGCAAACTGCTTTCATATACTTGTGTATGCTCGTCACAAGTACAGAACCAAGGGTATACATCTGCCTTTGAGACGATGTATGAACCTGTTCCATAGTAAAGAATTGCATTCTTGTTTTTATCTTTATTTTTTTATTTTTTTATTTTTTTATATATATTTTGTTTTTTGTTTTATTATTTCGTAATTTTTATTTTTTATTTTTTACATTTTCTTGTTTTCGTAATGTTAGTAATGTTTTCAGACAACATTATATGAGTGTGTGTGTGTGTGTGTTGGATGACGCCATGAAAAACATGTCGAACCAAGAAACGGTAAAACGCCTCTTTATCATGCTCCGATTTAACACATCGGCACCACTCCCATTAACCTTATCAGGCGAGCACAGGAATTACCCAGCCAATCAACCCATCTTCGGGAATGCTACGTGACTTGCCCGGATCGTTGCTTATTCAGGTAGTTGCAAAAACAGACGACCAAAGACCTTGTCCTTGAGGGTTTCGGTAGCTAGATACTTCATATGAATATCTGTGCCGTGCTTTCGTGACCAGTCCATCGGTACGGGTAACCAGAGGGTATTAGTTGGTGAGGTTGCCTTTCCTTTGTACATCAAGTGAACTACCACCAGTGCCTCAACCGTCCTACACGGCCTATGGTCCTTGCTCTTTTTGCCGAAAGTACCATAACAGCAATGTTCTCCGAATGAATGGGAATCGACATAGGTGTACTATGGAGTCATTATATCTGGGTAATAATTATTGAGGTAGGAGAGGGGTTGAGGGGGCGGTAGAGCAATAAGCCGTCCTACCCTAAGACCTGGTCGATGGCCAATTTCCCCGAGCTGTGAGAGCATCCCCATAGCTATCATATGATTGACCAGTACTGCGTTTTACAAATCAGGAAGTGACTAATCCTGAAGGAAGGTCTTAGGCTCACTTGGAAGGGAAAAAAAACGAACGAAGACATAGAAGCATGGATAAAAAAATAAATAAGTAGAAAAAAACAAGGAGAAAAATTTCAGGGAAGGACTTATTACTGTAGGACTTTGCAATCATCCTGATGCGCGCCCATGTAGTCCCACAAGTGGTTGTCCGCCCGGTGCCGACGTGGAAATCGGCAATCCTGGGGCGAGGTATTACGTGCGGGGTTTGCATGGGGGGAATGCGCGAAAGGACCGAACGCTTTTTCCGGGGATCAGTCGTAGCATAGACCAAGTGGGCAGGGGGACGGGAAGGGGGTAAAAATATGTGCGGCTACGGGGATCGAGGATAACCCTCTGGGGCATCATCCATTCCAATCCCGTACCGAGGTAATTCCATAGGCGGCGGCCCGACAGACGCCGACGTGGATATCAACAGTTCCATCCCTAGGCAATGCGTATGAGATTACATCGGTATGGCAAACGATCCTGCTACAGCTGAAAAGTATGAGAACTGTACGAAAAAACACACGAAACCGAAACTCAGGCGACGAGTCAATCGATTCATGAAAGTGCCATATTGTATACATGCGTGCTTCTATCGCTACAACCCATGTACCCAAAAAGCCAAACGCTGTGGATGGTATCCGTCAAAGAGAGTCGGGGGTAGAGAAGTAAGGCGGGAGAGACAGAGCAGAGAAGAGCGGGAGGCGAGGAGGTGAACAAAGGAAGGAGGGGGGGAAAGGTGTAGAGAGGGGAAAAAAAGGGGAGAGGGGGACAGGGGGTAAAAATCCGTGCAGCTACGGGGGACCGAGGATAACCTCCCTAGCCACCATTCATTCTAATCCCGTACCCATGTAACATCCTAGGCAGCGGCCTGAAGGATGCCGACGTGGAGATCGACAATTCCCTCCCCTGGCGATGCGTATGGAATTACATCAGTATGGCGAGTGATCCCGTTACAACCAAAAAGTGTGAGATCTTATCTACAAACATCGCATGAAACAGAGATACAAGCAACGACTCAATCGATCCATGAGAGTGCCATATTGCATACATGCGTGCACCATTCATTCAAGAAGCCAATCACTATGGATGGTACCTGACAACAAGAGTCAGGGATGGAGAGGCGAGGCAGGAGAGAGCGAGAGGGAGAGAGGAGACGGAGGTGAGGAGGTGAACAAAGGAGGGAGGGGGAGATAGCTATAGAGAGAGTGGGAAGGGGAGGGGGCGGGTAAGGGGAGAGAGAAAACGGGAAAGGAGGGGGAGGGGTGAGAGAGAGAGAGAGAACCTTGGAAGGCAAGAGAGGGGGAGGAAAAAACGATCAATTCGCTTATGGGGAAAAAAAACTAGGTAAAACAATTTGGTAAAAACACTTATTAAACGCAAAAAAAAAAACATCCTAATGGTAGTACGTAGGTCCTCGTCTGACAGTACTGCCTTTCTTTTAGTCAAAGGGCTGAAGCAATCCACTCTTCCGACTCCTTCTCTGCACAATGCGCAAGCAGCACACGACTCATAACAGTGACAAGACCGGTTGCATCCCCAGAGTGAGCTCCGCGTACTATGGGAGGCTAGCCACGACAACCAAAAGCAGGGAGGGTAGTGGCGATCCCTGAAGCGTGTTTCTGCCGCTAGCCACAAATGCACGGCTTCATCAAAGGGTGATACCTACGATTCGTCACACATGCTTGGGTAGCTGGAGCTTGGATGGTGGTGGTGGCGCCTGTAGATGCAATGAAAAGGCTAAAAACGCGAGAAATGCCAACAGCGCAAGGAATGCGAGAAGCACATAGGCTGACAACTCAATAGCTACGCCGACTCTCTCATCGTCCCTCTGCTTACCCTGCAACGCCATCGCCCCAAGTGATAGCAGCTTACTTGCACACCAACGCAGTGTATTGAGGGGGAGGAACGAGAGGAGGAGACAAGCACACATTCCTTGCTCGTGCAAGGGCAGCGGTGTTCGCGTGACAGGTGAGCAGACTCTCCTAACAGCCGCAGCAAAAAATGACGCAGTGCAAGCGCATGCGGGGGAGAGCGGGCATATGACTATACCACGTCCTCATTGTCGCCGATCAGCCAATCCACCAAGTCCTGATCCACCTGATAGTCTATGGTACACCTTGACAGTAGCCTGCAACCGCTCCTTCGGTACCCTTCTTCCGTCGCCCGTGAAGCCAGAGCTCAAACATACCGGACAAGCATTCTGTTCGGCAAGTATACTTCGGCCGAACAAAACGCCTGTGTTGCAATCGGAGTTGATGAGTCGACCTGGGGGTTTCGAACGCTAAATAGTCCTGGCGGTTCGTCACTATCCGAGCATCGAGGTGTAATCCGGTGTGGCCATCGAACCGAGCAGTGGGCGCCGAGACCGAAAAAAGAAAAAAAGAAGAAAAAAAGAAAACAGAAAACCAAGGGAAAAGCAAAAGAAAGGGAAAAAAAAAAAAAAAAAAAAAAAAAAAAAAAAAAAANAAAAAAAAAAAAAAAAAAAAAAAAAAAAAAAAAAAACGGGGGGAACCCGGAAATGACGAACACACACGCAAAAAAAGCAGGAAAGAAAGAAAGAAAGAAAGAAAACATACAGTGCTGCGAAGGCGGCGAAATTCAAAATTTTATTTTGTGAAAAAAACGACAAAATCAAAGTGAGGATTCGACAAGGGGGTGAGCGGAACTGGTGTCCTAATTGTTGTAGGGGTTCTCTTTAGCAATCCGCCTCTGCATGGGTGCCAAATCCATTGTTTGCGTTTCCGTGCAGACCCGTCATGCCATTCCTCCTCTTCGTGCAGTTACCTCTTTGATTCATGAAGCGGTGCAACCTGTCGCGTGTATATGAAGTGTCCCTGACGGGCGCTGCCCCCTATCTTCTCAGTCTAGGGAGGCATCACTGCCCAGTTTTGGGAGTCAATCCTTCTTGCAGAGGCGAGTTTATTCGTCGTTTGCGAAAAAAAAAAAAAAAAAAAAAAAAAAAAAAAAAAAAAAAAAAAAAAAAAAAAAAAAAAAAAAAAAAAAAAAACCTTCTTTGCTCCGCTTTCTTTCCGTACCTCCTATCGCCCTGATGTGTGGGTTTGTGTGGCTTACCAACCTCCTGTTGCTCTCTCTCCCTCTCTTCCCAGTTCCTCTTATTCGTTGTAACCCCTGTATGTATGTGTGTGTGTGTGTGTATGTGTGTGTGTGCCCCGCCCCTTTCCCACCGGTAGGCAAGTTGGGGGAGGAAGGCCTTACGCCGGGTGGGCATCAGGCCTTCCGGCCCTCTGCCACCCGGTCGTCACAGCACACTCACAGACACCACAACGCCAGTGTTAGTCACATTTGAAATCGATTTATCAGTATGCCTTTCAGCATGCCATCATTTAGTCTCCCTGGTTGGTATTCCTGCCAATTTTCAAAAACCCTGCTAACTATCTTCCAACACTCCCTAGGTGCGACAGTCAGGCCTCTTTTTTTGTTGTATTTTGTGGTTATATAATTTCCGCCTGTGGGTGACGTGACAGTGAGAGATAGGTTAAGAAAGTTGGCCATCCTACCGTGTCCTTCCTCTGTAACCTCTGTGGTCTCCCTTACCTCTATGTAGTCGTGCGGGTAGATTTTCAATCCCTGATGCTGGCTTGGGACCCCATTTATGAGGGATTCAGCCATGATCGTGTTGTTCAGGGAACACAGATCATCGATATACCTGTACGTGTCCTGGAAGCATTCCACCGCCTGCCAATCTTGCCTGTCAACCAGATGCGTAACAAGCTCGAACTCGTACTTAAAGAAGTACACGTCGCATAGCATGGGTGAGCAGGCAAGTCCCATTAGGATGCCAAGGACTTGCTTCCAAACGACGTCGCCCATTTGTACTAATCCGTTCGAAATGAGCCATTCAACCGCATCTATGACGCCCTGCTCGTCGAAGTACAGCTTCTCCCGATCTCTGTCCTGGTCCGAGTTGACCCAGTCAGGAAACATTGACCCGCGCGTGCTGATGGAGATAGCAACCCTATCCCTTGTCGTCCTTTCGCTCCTTCATTCCATCGCGCATGCCACGAAGAACTTGACAGCCTCAATCAATCCTTCATCCGAGCTGTCTGTCTGTATCGTCTCGAAGCACCTTGTGATGTCTCCCGTATAGATCCAGTAGACTCGTTCCGGAAGATTGGCTACGAACTCACCGATGGAGGAGATCGGCCACCAGAAATTAGGCCGGAATCCAAATTCCTGCTCCACAAGCTTGCTCTTCTTTGCACACAACACCTGTACGTCGATAGCCAGTAGCTTCCAAATGCAGTCGCAAATCTTCGCCACTGGTGCCAACACCGATCCAGTTGTGTTGGTTATCCATTTGAAGGATTCCTTATGCGCCTTGTAGACCGTCATGAGGTGCGGCAGCTGCGTTTTGTCCTCCATGCATGTGGTGGGGGCGAAGGTTGAGGCCTCCTGCATCAGCCTGGCTGCAGCTCGCGTGGGTTGTTCTATTGTAGGTACAAAGTTGTGACCCGAGAGCCGCTTCAGTGCCAATCTTCTGATGAAATTGGTACAAACGAATGTCGGCATGTGAGGCGCTTTGTCCGTTGGGCAGATGAGGAATGTTTGAGTTAGCCAATCGATCTCGCTCCTGACTGCGACCGCGTTGTTCGACTCCCCTCCGATGTGCATGTCCGTGACATGATAGTCTCTCAAGCAGCCCCTAATGTTATTGAAAACGATCTTCTTGACCTGCTTCTCTTCCTCCATCGTAAGCTCTGCATCGCATCTGTCAGTGGCCAGGATCTTGTCCACAACTTCCTTGATCTCCCCCATAGCGAAGTCCTCGTCCAAGGGGCTGAGGGGGATGTGGTTGAGCCCTGCGTTGAGCATTAGCTGCAGCTGCCCGTTGTGGGGAAACCCGGGGAGGGAATTCTGTTGCTCGCTGAAGCCATGAGCCACGACGCCTGTCACTTCGCCGCGCTCGCTTCCGAGGTCCTCGGCGAGCAACAGGGAACTCGTGTTTGCTATACCTGTCCTGAGCCWTCTCGTTTACCAGCAAGTGGGGTTCCCCATCCCTGTTTGGTGGCGGCTCTTTCGACCCCAGGAGAACARCTCAGAGAGGTGCATCTGTACTTTTCRATTCACGCCCAGTGGMGATTKAGACAACTCGCGTCAGTTGTTGAATTCTGGCCACCTCTGATATTTGAACTTAGAGAGTTCTCTGCTATTATATAAATAATTAAGGCGTAAGGAAAAGAACAGTTGCGATTGCTTTCAATTAAGATAAGCACTCACTCAACCAAAACTCAGAATTTCCCAAATAATATCCCGTTCGATCATTTATCACAGCTTCCCCTTTCAGTGCCTCCCAAAGTCTCGTGTCATTCTGATGGTCACTTAGGAGCTCTCCCTCATCTCAAATCTCTCTCCCCCTCTCTTTCACGCTCAATATTCYGCATATGGGGCCAGTCTATATGCCTGTCCCTTTTTTTCCCTGCGTTGGGGGAACGCGCCCTTTCTCCCTCTCTTTCTTGCTCACCCACTAGTCCCTCACTCTGTCCTCACTGATCTCTCTCTGACCGCAAGCTCATTCTTTTGCCCTCGCTAAATAGCTGCTGRAATTTTGACATTAAAAATAAATAAATAAATAAGTAAAACATCAATAGTTATTCGTGCTGGTCCTCTCCCTCGAGTCAAAGTCCCTTGAGAGTGCCCAAGAGGGCCATCCTGTCTCTCGACCAGATCCTAAGTCTTACCTCCCACTTCCCTTTATGTTGATTGCCTGTCCAGCAAGTGTGGCTGGACCCACTAACAGCGGAGTTTACCTGATTCTCGGATCAATGATAGCCTTGGTAATCTGAAGGAGTGGCCAACATCTGGGTCGATTGATAGATCTCCAGATGAGAAGTGCTCGACTCTCCAACAGTGCTATCGCCAGATTAGTTGCTTGCTGAGGAGCACCGTCCCCGTCRGCAGCGAAATTCACTGATAATTCGCATCGAAGAGCGTTGTCTCCGCTAGCAGCRGAATCACRTGATCGGTCGCACCCAAAAAAAWGGGTACCGTTACTACTAGCAGCGATGTCTCATGATCGGTAGTGAACTSACGGCCATCGTTCTTGGTWGCTGCGGGTTCACAYGAATGGTCTCTCCGATCATCGATGTTTTCGCTAGCAGTGAGGTTTCATGTTGGTAATTTGCTGGAGGGRGGGCACTGCCTCGYTGATTCCCTCATCCTTTCCCTCTCATGGYACACSCTCTTCTCTCTCGCTKCATTCTCTCACTTCCTYTCCACGCGCTCCTCTCTCTCTCTCACTCATCCACACCTCCCCGTTACCACTTTCTCTCTGCAACTTTCCTCCCTCTCTCCCTCTGCTCACGCTCTGCGTGTGCGTGCGCRTGTGTGTGTGTGCCGAAGGACCCGTCACTATTATTAGTGAGACTTTTTATACTCAGATTCGGAACCCCGAAACCCGCACGCACCCTCCCCACTTCTCGGGCGGGTTATCGCTCACAGCCACGCAGCTTTAGAACGGCACACCCAGTACTGTAA